CGAATTCAGGTCGCTTTATTGAGTAAAAATGAAACAATTTATTCCTTGCAAGATGAAAAAAAAAACTCAGTTCACAGGGCAAGTTGCAATTTTAGGTTGATTTCCCTTTCTTTCTGCCTCACCCTCTTGCCTCTCCATTCCCCCTCCTCCATCCTCCTGTCAGAGGGACACATAATCAGGTTTTGTGCGATTTGTTTCTAGATTAGCAGCCACCTTCCCTTCAGATAAGAAGCTGCTGTGATGAAGCCTGTCCTGGAAGGCACAGGGCTGTGATGAAACACCGCATCTGACATGAACAGATCTGTTAAGAACACAATTAAGACACTGTCTAGCCATATCTGGCCTAACTTATCGTTTTCTGATCTTTCCACTCTTGTTTTGAGATGAGGCTGAAAAATTCTGACTAAAACTAGATAATCTGTGCAAAACTGAAACCGGACTCAAGGTTTTTCCAACAAGTTTGCCAATTCAAACGCATCCATTCATATCCCAATAGGGGTATCTGGAGTTGTAGGGAGGGGCAGCGGTGCTTCTGTATGTATCCCGACAGATGATAGCCTTTGTCAGAAAACAGTTCTGTGTTGGAAGATAAATCTCTCTTAAAATAATTTTGTATATAAACCATCAATATAGACAGTGACATAAGAATGTGCTGTGTATGGAAAGCCATGACAGTAGTAGAGTCCATTCAGAGCAATATCCATTTAACATGTAAGGGGCAGCTTCAGTACCAAATTCCCATTTAAAAATTTGCGTGTCATACTTTATTTTGAAGAAAGCCTGTCTAGTAACCATTGTTCAGTGGCTCAGAATAAACCAGTGAATCTTCCTGGAATGCTGCCCAAGACTTCACATCATTTAGAAACGGTTTGAGCACTTAATGCTGTATTTCCAAATCAGCAAAGTCATTTCTCACATTTCTTAGCTTTTTAAATATTTCTCTTAATTAAAAACAAATAATATTACTGGCTGTTATTGAAGTCTTTGGATTAGAATTTGGATCTATGTCATTACTCCTTTCTCAGTTTTGTAGTTTTCAAGCATCACTGCCACTGAAGCAGATACTCAAGTCTGTTTTTTAACATCATCACACATGTCGTCTGCCTTAATGACAAGAAATTACTCAAGCTGACAATCTCGGTGTTCCCAGTGTGTTTTTTGATAATCCAGCTCTGTGAATGGAGTTTTTGTCTCTGTAGTCCTTGTTGTTGAGGGCGAAGGACAGAAAGACCTTTTGTACTTTATTGGTGGTTTTGGTTTTCTTAATGATGTGCACGGCATGTTTAAATTGTTCTCCAAGGCAGCAGGCAACCTCCATTTTTCTGATCAGTGAGTTTTGGTAATCTTATTGAGGTGTAATTCTCCTATGACCATGATGGATCTTTTAGGTGCGAGTTCCCATTTGGTGAAAATGTCCCCCTGGTGGATGTAGGTGGTATAGGTGGATTTTTTGGTTTCAGAGATATCTGCAGGATTGTTTTTAACTTGGCTTTTCTGAAGGACCAGGAGATTGTTCTTGGGTTTTATTAGATTAAGTGTTTGGCAGCGATTGAGTTTTGGTTTCAAAGTTGTGCAATGTGAAAGTAAAATGTGCAAGTGAAACTGTGAGTCACCTTGTTTTTCCTTCCCTGTTTCTGGTGGAATGTTTTTGTGTGCAAATAGAATAGAATAGACCATAAAACAGATATCAGAATCAAACCAAGATAAACTGGCTAAATTCAAAGTACAGTTCTTAAAAGAAAATTTAAGGTGAGGGGAAGAATCAAACCAAATGTGAAAAACTAATTTCCCCTCCTTCGTGCCTATGGATACCACTGAGATTGACTGTTTGCAGTAACTTCCAAGTATATTGCTACAGACAAACTGTGGTCCTTTCTTATTAGCAGATATTTTTCAATGCAGCCCTAGAACATCATACTTCCACCTCCATGCTTAACTGTCATTGTCAAATACTCTGCTAGTTCTATGCCAAAGACCTTCACTAAATATTTTTCCAAAATGTTGAGTAACGTTTGTTGTTTTGTTTTACTCCAAATGTTTGATAGATTTATATGTAAATTTGGTCAGCAGTGGTCTTGGCTCGCTCCCATGGAGGTCCAGTCTCTTTCTTGTTGTCAAACCATGAACACTGACTTTAACTGACTTGCTTTAATTGAAGCATGTCAGAACTGCAGGTTTTGATGGGGGCTTTGTTTTCTGATATTTTCTGACCTCCTGGATGAGTCTTTGATGCACTCTTTGTGTTGTTTTGGTAGGCTTTATACTTGGTGAAATGCCACTTATTCCTCTTTATTTGCTAGGGTAACTTTTTTGAAGAACAGTCTTTTCAAATAAAAGCTTTTCCATCTTGAAGAGATTTAAATTAACCAGACTCAGACTCTGCATTTACTAGATCTCTTCTTTTCAGTGACTCCATTTTACTCGGGCTGCAACCACTAGAATGTTCTATATTAAATAAATCCAGGTGGGATCAGCTTATAGAGTCTGGATAAACTTTCCAGCCACAAATCTAAACAAAAAAAATTCCCTTTCACAGCAGATGAAATGATAAAAAGAGCATGTGCGTCCAGAGAGCATCTGCATCACTGGCATTTATTTGTGTTTATAGGGCTGTGCACTCTGGGTGATAGATGAATTTTAGATTATCTTCCTGTTCTTACAGATTCAGTGAGGCTGCACCAGCCCCTATCCATTAGGGCGTAAGAGAACATCTTGCTGAAAAAAGCAGACTTGCTCTCAAACAAAAACAAAAAAAAACAAGCTCCATAGAAATCATCATCTGATAATTTGTTTACCTTTTTGTCCTTTTAACAAACGCCATTTTTTTTCTTAATATGTAATATGTTTGTGCATGCTTTGTCGTGTATGTAGCTTTTCCTCACATAGATAGCAAAGGATCCATTTGTCTGATAAGAGCTATCAGTCATACGAGAATGACGGTGGAGATTACTGTGTCAAGACGAGTTGAAAATGTGCAGTTATTTTCTCATGAGCTTGGGCTTCAGAACCAGACACAGGTTCTTATCAGACACACCCACAGGCCCAACAGAGCAGCAACAGCTTTCAGGAAATAAAATTTCCCCTTTGCTTCTTTTGGAGCAGATCTTTCCTCAAAGGGAAATCATTATCGCTGCAAAAAACCACAAAGAGACGCTGTACTTCCTTTAAAATCTTCTTTGATTCACATCCATTATTCACAAGGAATATAAAGTCAAAACTACAGGGAGGCCAAGAGAAGCTTTTATGTGTCATTCAATATGATTAAGAGACAATTTAAGATAGCATCGTTATAACATTTTATTTACCATTCTTGTGTCTGATTGTACTAAAGGCTCAGACTGGCTGACTAAATAAGAGGAGCATTTCAAATCAAATTACTGATGGGTATCAGGACTGCTTGGAAAAACCCACAAAGCTACTGAAAAAGATGTCAGAGATTTATATCCACTCATCACATTAGAACAATAATTTCTTTTTAAGCTGGAACGACTATATATAAACATACAATTTCAAAGCCTTTATAGAACAAGAAATGGGCACACAAGTTTAAATTCTCTGTGAATCGACTTTAATTCAAGCAGGATCAAAATATAGACTCTGAACATTGGATAAATGTCGCTTTTTAAGAAACAGAGAAACCACATAGTTTTGCAACATTCTTTCTGTCAGAAATTATGGAGTTTATTTAAACTGACTGGTTTGGCGGTTCATGCCATGGTTTGAAAACCAGTTTTAATTTTTAGGTTTAGAATTCAACCATCCAGCTGTGGATTTGGTACTCTCTGTAGTTTCTACTTTATAACAGATTTTAGCTTTTGTTGTTTCTGCAGAAATGGACGTTCTAACATGACAATGAAACTTGTTTTAGAATAGATGAAGCGAGCAAACATAAAAACCTCTGATGAGGCCCTGACCTCATTACTGTTGAAATGGCTCAGATCAAAAAACAATCTATTTAATTGAACCCCTTAAATAAAATAACTATTCTATAAGGAGGAGTGGTCAAATATCCAGTCAAAATTGTGCCAAAATTGTTCTAATGATTATAAAACAGCATGGTGTGAATATGCATATTGGTGAAGGACATAATGAAAAAGTTGTGTGGTCTCCTACAATTTGGCCTGTATAATTCTGGGTATGTGTGGAAAATTGATGATAAATTAAAAGTTGCATACCATTTTTTAAGTCTTACAAGTTATTCCTTTGTATAGTTCTCTCACCACCTGAAAATATCTTTTTATGTAAATCACAAAAAACAAAATTAGCCCAAGTTAAAATGACAGCATTATGAAAGACTGAAAACATTTACAGAAATTGTTCTAGCAGTTTTTCTTTTAGCTTTCCTTCGCAATGACTGTGTTCGTCACTCAAGTCTTTTACGTGCAATAACAGTGAGCCAGTCCTGCGTGTGTAATTGGATCTGAATCCTGCTCTGAATGCAGAGAAGTGGAAGAAAAGTGACAAGGTGTGATTAGGTATCCCCTGAATCACACTGGCAGTTTGTTGGCAGATGGCTCTTTTGTCAAACTAATTTGTTCAACAGAATAACCAGGTCGATAATTACATGCTGCTTTTGAGTGCTGTTGAAGCTATTGTTGTGTTAAAAAATCCAAATAGTGAAAACTAAGGAAACAGAATGAATGTAACCTCAGGCAACATGTTTTTTTCCCCCAGCTTTCATTTATTTTACACTTGGTTTGTAACATATTGGCATTTAGAATGTAGCCATCATAAGCAAAACTCCATTGCAAATCAATCTTTTTCCAGCTTAGGACATTTTTGAATATTTAAAAAAGACGCACATCTTTTCATGGCAGGTCTACATAAATAGTTCAGTTGCATCAGATTAGACCCTCACTAATCACGGATGGAAATGCACATGATAGGGTATTAGGAGTCTTGAGCGGAAAGGGGTGTGACGAGGGTGTTGGGTTTCATGTCAAACCACCTGGTGAAGGGAGTCTTAAGGAGCGCTGCCTCAGAGTGCCAGCGCACAATAGAGTATTCAGTCCCACAGAAAGGCCTTCAACCAATTGCTCAACCTTTTTGGAGAAGTCCAAGTCTTTAATTTTGGATGGAGAGCAGGATCAGACCGCTTTCTATGGCCGGACACCCCACAGGGCCGCTTGGAGGACTCCCGATGGCCCCTTCCCTCCTGCGTCACCCACCTCTTTTTCTCCGCGCCTGCAACCCTACTCTGGAGAGGGGCTACCCGAGGACCCCGAAGTGCGCCCGCTGTAGAAACCACGGCGTCGTCTCGGCACTGAAGGGCCACAAGCGCTTCTGCCGCTGGAGAGACTGCGTGTGCGCAAAGTGCACCCTGATCGCGGAGCGGCAGCGGGTGATGGCGGCGCAGGTGGCACTCAGGAGGCAGCAGGCTCAGGAGGAGAACGAAGCGCGGGAGATTCGTCTTATGTACCCTGCCCCAGGAGGGCAGGCGGGGATCAGTCAGGGGCCCGCAGTCGGGCGCGGAGTGCCAGCGGCGAGCGGCAACACGCCACCAGCTCCATGTTTTGACGTTTTTGGCGCTCAGAACCATAAAGAGGGTGAGTTTTACGCGGATTTTCTTAATTATTAAGCATAATCTGAAAGTTATTACTATTAGTTATAATTTTGTAAAACACAAATTGAATATTTTTTGGTCGTTACCATAGCATTTATTTACCAAGCAATACGTAAAAGTTGCGTAAAGTATATATTATTGGATTAAGAATTTTGCGCACAAGGACAGAATGGCACAGCAGTGCCAGTTCACGAGTGTTCAAGGCCTTACGCAAAATTTTATTTGATAGCATCACAATTATTATTTTGGGTGCAGAGGTGAGTGAGTCAGAAAAGAACTCTAAAACTATATTTTTCGTTTATCGTAAAAGTAGCTACCGATATGCAGTTAGTTTGCATGAGATCTGCTCTAAACCTAAATATGAGCAAGAGGAGGCATTAATTAAGATCTGAAATGTGACTGTTATCATAACTTTTTTAGTTTTTTTTATACATTTAGAGCATCTGTGAAACTGTCCCAATCCAAGACCCCAGTAGCAGTACCTTCCACTTCACTTATTAAACTCCTCCTTTTTCCTCTGTGTTTCAGATGACAAAGTGAGCAAATACAGCATTTGCAGTGGATTTTTGGGTCAGCCACTCTTTATGCCCCTGAATGCGCGGGTGCCTTCTCCAAGTGACAGAAAGGATCTGTCTCCCAGCAAGGACAACTCTTCACTTGCCAGTGATAGTGGAAGTCCGTCACCACCATCTGATCAGCTCTCAGATAACACTCAGAGTCCACAGAGGTCACTTTCATCCTCTGATCCAGAGTCCGGCAGCGAGTCAGAGAAACCCAAAGATTTCCCGAATCTGGACCGTGACCCTGCTGACATCATGGCCAAGATCTTCCCCCATAAGAAGCGGGACGCCCTGGAGTCCATGGTGAGAACATGTAAAGGCGACATTGTGAAATCCATCGAGTTGGTCCTGAACTCTAAGGAGAAAAAAACCGACACTGGCAGTTCATCTCCCTCTCGTGTGCAGAGCTCAGCGTTCAAGCCTGCAGCCGGACTGCCAGGAGCTCTCGGTTCTTCAGGAAGCAAGTCTGCCTTCTCCCCTCTCCATGTCCACCCAGCTCCTGGAGGGGACACCCTCTATGGGCTTAGTCCTCACCTTGGTGTGAGCCCCCTGCGTCTGGCCTACTCCTCTGCCAACAGTGCTCTGGGCGGATTCATGTCCCCGTACATGACATCAGGACTGATGCCGCTGCTGACCCTGCGTCCACAATTGGACTCACATTCTTTCCCAGGAATGATCAGAGACTTTTCTTACATCCAGAATAAGGATTCCCTGTGCAGTACGACAGGCCCCTACACACGACTGAACAATAATAAATAATAGCCCTAAAATAATAACACACGATAGATGATTTTTGTCCAGTTTCTGTTTTCCTGCTGAACAATGTAAGTGAAATTGTACAACCGAGTTAAACATTTGCTTGTAATTGTGTAAAGTCTGTATGAAATTGTTTAATTGTAATAAAGGGATTTTGTTTTATATGTTTCTGAATCTATCCATCTATCCAGATGACTAACAAAGCTTGAATGTAAAGTGGTTCTTGCAACAAAGTTCATGTCCTTTAAACTTTCACTGATCTTTTCACAGGATTACAATATTGTTAAGCACAAGGAAAATTTCAAATTCGATGGAGACCATCTATGATCATGCACTGAAAGTCTTCCCACATATTCTCAGTAGGATATATTGTGAGATGGGGTGTTCACTGGCACATAAAACTATGTGAATATCTATCCTCCCACTGTAGCTAAGGTTATTTCGCTTAATACTTAAGGTTATTTCCCCTCTGGAATAATGTTTTGTGAGATTTCAAAAGCTTAGCATATCGTTTTCTGACATAAAACCGAAATAAGCATCTCTACAACGTCCTCCCTAATCTGATGACTGTATTAGTCTTCATGATGCTCATTGTTCACTATGTTCTCTAAAAGACCTCTGATCACAAAACATATGGATTAGTAAATGGTGCTGAAATGAAATGCACATTTCCTGACTTTCATTTGTAGAAACATAGGAAAGCAATATAGTGTTGTCCTTCCACTTTACAATTATGCACGATTATGATATATTGGCCTAATATATAAAAGTACCGCTGACATACTTTCAAGTTGTGAGTTCAATGTGACAAAGAGTAATTAAAAAAAGTCCCAAGAGGTAAAAAAGTTTCCAAGGTAGCGTGAAAAGATTACATATTCCACTACTTCCGTAAAAAACATTTGAACCTTTTTTCCTAAATAATGTCGTGTTTTAATAACCTAGATATTTTATCTGTGATTATTCAATGAGGGCTGAAAACAACCAGCATGCATAGTGAAACACTCAGCTGACATTTTATAAAGGTGTTCAATGAAACGTATGCGTTTAAAAAATATATTTTAAAATATAGTAAAAAATATTTAAAAACATGATTCCGAATTACAACCAAATATATTTTCAAACGTTAAATACAAACACGTGTTTCTCCAGTGTCTCCTGCGTGCTCCGCCTCTAACTCGTGATTGGTCCAACCCTCAGCCTCGGACCAATAGAAAGCTTGGGAAGTGTCACGTTGGGGAATGTTTCAGGAAGCTGAAACATGGACGGTCTAAACGCTGGTCTTGCATCCTGAGTTTGAAATATCCTTGAGCGGGACTTTAATGAGACGTGTCTGACAGCGGGCAGAGCTCTTTTTTGTCCTCTGAAATGCGTTTCCACATCATCACCGCAGCTTTTCTCTGGGCTGCGTTTGTGGAGTCGCGGAAAATCCGAGGAATATCTTCGTCCTGTGAGTTCAGTTCACCGTTTTAGCTAAAGCCAAGTCGCTGACGTCGTATTTATGTTATCAATAAGTCTTCATTCATCGTCACAACTAGTTTTTATGTAGCTGGCCTCACCGCAGTCTGTATAGATCTGTATAGCATTTAGATGCATAAGGTGCAGATGGACGAACAAACTCGTAGATTTCATAGATCCACAACCATTTGCTTACATAAATTCATAAATGACTCATATTTTGTCTTCATGTGTTTTTTCTGTGTAGCTCATGGCCACGTTTTCTCTTGATTTAACAGATAAAAGGTTCTACAGGGAGAGGAAGTCATTTCTGTGCATAGACGGGTCCAAAATGATTCCTTTCGAGCAGGTGAACGACGACTACTGCGACTGCGCAGATGGGTCTGATGAACCAGGTAAACATGGATTGATAACAGAGGAATCATCTTTCAGATTTCAGGTCTGTGTAATCACTAGCTGCAGGCACAGACGTTTGACTTTGAGCAATATTATGTTTTTATTCTTCTGTGTAGATGTAAAGTGTTCAGCTCTTTTAAAGCTGTTTTACAATATTCTGTTTACTTCAAATGGTTATTATCTTTAATTGGTTTAGTTGTTTATGAAGTCTAGAGGAAACACCGTTTACTTTAATGAGATCATCATGAATTTGACACTTATATTAGTTGCCCTGGGGCCAACAAATTTTCATACTACAAACTTAAATTACTGATCATTTTATTTTTATTTTGTTGACAAATTAGTTGGATCTATATGCATTTTAGTTCTTATATGTAAGCTTAAATAAAGTTAAACTGTGCTTCATCAGGGTTGTTATGTCATATATTGATATGCAGATATTTTTTGGAATGATCACTACTATTAGTACCAAAATAATTCTAGATTAATATATGATAAAACGATGGATCAAATAATTAATTAGATGTGAACTCTAGTATTTCTTTCATTAGGAAAAACCCAGATTCCAAGCATAATTATGTTAGTTTCCAAGGCAAACTTGCCACTCATAATGACGCATGTACGTGTGCTCTCAAGTCACTGGCCTGATCCCTATAGTCGCGCTACACCCTATGCTGCACAATGAAATGTGCACTCAGTGATTTTTGACTGAGAATCCCAAACCCTTTCTTTGAATTTTCAAAAATTTTACACAAAAACAACATTACCATATTTCCACCTATTAATTCATATTGTTTTCTGTTAATTCAAAACGTCACATACCGTCACATGCACTAAAGAGTTGTGGGTTCATATACTAGATCTAAAACCGCACATTTTATTAAAATGGCTGGATTCAATTATGGCTGTCAGTTAATGCAGTAAAATCTAAATAATAATAATAATAATGAACTGAATAATAATTATCTTTGCTTAAAAAAACAACAACAACACTTTCTATCATTTAAGAATTACTGCCAGCCAGCCTCCAGTGCCTTTCTCAAATTGAAATTTTAATTTATGTTTTGTCTTGTTTGGATGATTGTATGCATTCTGTGAATGTCTTTTAAAAGCTACCATTGAGCAGTTGCAGGCTGCTCAGACTGCTACTGCAAGGCATCTGGTTTGAAGTGTTTCATGTTTATTTTTACACACAAACTTGTTGTCAGGTCATTGCGACTCAACAGCTATCAGCAAAACTTTTCTCTGGTCCTCGTGTCTTTTATTGAGAATGTATGATGAAGAACGAAACACCAAGAAAATGTCTAACCTTTTATGAGCTGGAATATTGCAAATACCTCTCATAGCTGCAAAATATTTGGTTAAGCGTTTATAAATTTAAGAATAAAACAAAACTGTTTAATGCTCAATTTAAAAAGTTTCCTTTAAATGGGGTATGTGGTCTACTGAGAGGGTCATTAATAAACTGCCATCGCCAGCATCAGTGTAAGTGCTACAATAATCCTCTTTCACTGCTACACGCAGGGGGAGCAGCACAAGTAGGAGGTTAATGATGCCAAACTGAGTTCATGTTGAGTGTGTCTATGTCATCAAGCCTGGTGCAGTTTTACATCAGATACAGTCCAGGAAAAACGAGAAATAATAAAGGTGGCACTTCATCAGACCTCCACTTAGATAAGATAGAACTGTCCATTTTCTCTTGAATAGTTTTTATATTAAAACCAGGTTGGGATTAGTACAGAATTGGTATCCAAATAAGGAGCATAGGTCAACGGGTTTTTTTTTCCACAGAAATATGTCACCAATAGATACAGACTGTTGTCTTTGTTGAATTCCAGATAAAGATGTCAATAAATGATAAACATAAACTAGAGAAAAAAAGAAAAAGAAACCCATAAGCCCATGAAAAACAGTATGTTATGCAACTGATACGTGCTTATCACGTTCTATGAAAATGTTTATAAGTCCTTTAAAAATGAATTAATCTTTTGTAACAGAAGCAATATCACACATAAATACAAAAAAAAAAAAATACAACCTTCAATTTCTGTACTTTGTTGAATAAGAAAATATTAAGAATGTTCTGAATTAATTTAAAATTGCATAGGAATTCCCTTTATTAAAATAAATGTTGCTTTTTTTTTGTTTTGTTTTTTTAAATTGTACTTTTATAAGATCAAAAAATATTCAAGAAACATGACTTAATTTTTCTTTTACCAGACATAAAATCAGCCATCTTCCATGCCGATTCTTGTTCCTAAACATAAATATACTGAATAAATGCACTAAAAAAAGCTAGATGTTCTGCAATAAAAGTTTAATTTAATTTTGGAATTTTTAAATACTCCATTGAACTGGTTTAAAATTAGTTTTTGAGAATTATTGTATTCTTCCTTTGATTTCTTTTTAATCTGGCTCTATTCAGGCACCTCAGCGTGTCCTCGTGGTCGATTCTACTGCACCAACCTGGGTTTCAGGCCCCACTACATCCCATCATCTAGAGTCAATGATGGCATCTGTGGTAAGCTTTAACTTTATGTTGAGTTGCACTGGTGAAAAATGAAAAATAAACAGATTTATTCATGAAGCTTTTCAAAATCAAAAGTTTACATTCAGAATAATTATATTTCTTTAAGCGGTGAGGGAAACCTGGTATAATGAGGTCATAGCTTTGGAAACTTCTGATAGGTTAGTAGACACATTTAAGTAAAAATATTTTAAGGCTACACCTTAGAAACACTGTTTTCTTTTTTCACACAGTAAGAAAGTCAAAAGAAATCAGCCAAGACATCAGGAAGAGAATTGAGGTACTGAACAAGTTTAGTACGTTCTTGGGAACAATTTCTCTTTGAAGACACTGAATTGATATGTTCAAAAAGTTGCATAGTATATGCAATCATAGATGAATGTCCAATCATCATACATGAAAGCCAAAGACCTTGTTAAGATGCTGGGAATACAGTGAAGTATACCCTGTCCTAATATAGGTTGAAATGCCATTCAGTGAAGATGAAGCCATTAAATGAAACATAAAAAAAAGCCAGATTGCAGTTTTGCAAATACATACAGGGACAAAGACCTGTCCTTTTGGAAACATGTCTGATGAAACTAAGATGAAACTGTTTAGTCAGAAGGTTTGGAGGAAAAAAAGGGATACCAGTAAGCTTGGGAACACTATCCCAAGCATGGAGGTGGAAGCATCATACTGTGGGATCATTCAGACCTCCAGCAAAACATTGTGAGGAACTTATGAAAGGAAACCTAAAACGTTTGACCCAACTTATGCAGTTCAAAGGCAATTCTACTAAAAACTGATGAGACATGCAACTTGTGGTTTTGAAGACATTAATAAATAAATCTCTGAAATATTATTTCTCTCATTGAGAAATTTAGCGACTAGAAATTATTTTGGTAATTTTAACTGACCTAAAATAAGAGAAGTTTGGTTTTGCTTCAGACAAAGAAAAAAACATGAACCCCTTTTTTATTCACTTTATGTAAGCGTTTGGTTGTGATTGTAGTTGAATGTACATTTCGATTAGTATTGAAGTAAGCATTCTCCGGAGAAATGGATGTTTAAATCTAAAAAATTGAAGTACTCTTTTAAGTCTGTGAATATTCAGTTTGTTTTTTCTCTGTGCGCTCTGCCGACTTGGACAAGCAGCTGTATCTTGTTTACTGTTAAGCAGGAAGCAAAATATAACCATGAAGTTTTTTAATCCTGTTGATTCCAGCTTTATTTATTTTTCTTCCTTCAAAATTGTTCTTTATTCCTACTGAAAACCTGAATGCCACACTTTACTGCAATAGATGTTTTTTTTATACCACCTTTCTTTTCTGCTTTTGTTCTTCAGTAACTCTCTGTTCTAGTTAATCTGATGGAGCACACATGTAGACGTAGAAGCAGAATTAGACCACATGCAACTATCAGAAGAACAAATGGTTCCACTAGTCTCTTATTCTCCTCTCATTTGTCTCACCATACCTACCTAGAAACCAAACATCACCACTTTTTCTCATCCCATTTGAAATTCAGATGGGTTGTCGTATTCCCTGTTTTTTTTTTTCTTTCAAGGTCTTAAAACCTTTCATTGTGCTGGCCACAGATGGGGTTCTGGATAAATGCGAAATTTCACACTGTGCCTGCATTACTGGTGAAACATCTGAGCAAAAGCCAGATCAGAGCATTTGCTACACACCATGCAGTGGATGTTATCAGTGGTTGATGTCAAGAGACCCTCTGTGAATCAGAGAGAGATATGATGTAGACACAAAGACTCAATCCTCATCTTTAACGATGAAAAGTCAGTGGCTCAGTCAGTCCCCATCTTCAAAATGAACAGACAGTTGAAAACATGGGTGGATAAAGACACAATTTACACAGCATATAGTTTTATGTGCATACATTTTTGCAGCTGAAGAACAGAGTTTTCCCAGACAGTGATACTACAGGTTTTTAGTTACATGCTACTGTGTTAAAGTAGCATTAGATGCTTTGAAATTCTGGTCACCAAGGATTCTGTGCCAGTCTGTCTGTCCTCCTGACTCTGGTACCTTAATTTCCAAATTAAATGCATCATTTCCTTTGGTTTTTAAAAATACTTTGGCTCACTCCTTTTCACTTTTGTCTAGGTACTGAGTATTTGTTAGCATTGACAGCCAAGACGAATAAAAAGGACCCATGCTCGATCAAAAAAAAAATAAAAGAAAAAGAAAGAAAGAAGTGCGGTGGAGAACATTTAAAGAACTTGTAGAACAAACAAAGATGAACTGCATCACACCAGGAGCAAGCTGTGTTGGCTACAAATGTTGTTTTTCATTTAATACTAGTATCAGAACTTGGATGTAGAAATTTGTCTCCGTTTCCGAATAAAAATCTGCAGGATTTTCCCAATTGATATGCTCAGTGGCCAGGCTAATTACTGCTGTGCAAGTTAATGACAATGTATTTCTTTGCTGAAACAATGTAGCAAAATGTTCACCAAGGTCATGTAGTGCTGTTTAATGACTTAATGACATTAAAAAGTCAGGAAGTACAAACAATCCTTTTGTCTTTACTGCAATTGAGCCATACTGGATTTTAAAATCCAGATCAATAAAAAAGTCTTTTGAGACCCTTTTGTTAATTTTCTTTGTTGTGTTTTGAAAAAAAATATTGCTATGGTGGTATTTATTATGACAAGCTTGAGTACTTCTCACGTAGAGGTTATTAACTAGAATAGAAGAACAAAATAGAGATTTTATGAGGAAAGAACAAATATTTTTTTAAGCTGTAAATATCGGCTTCTCATAACGTTGATGTATTCACTAAGAGAAACCTTTAAAACACTTGAAGTGTTTCTAATTGTCCTTCAGTATAATCTAGTGTGGTATTCTGCTATTTTCTCTTGTGTTTCCTCTTTTCGGAGATGATTTTGATCCCTTAATTTAGAGCCGTGACATTCTGTTCACACTGTGTGCTGCTATTCTGTTTTGTGTTTGTTTTTATGTGGTTTGGACGGGGTTCTCCTGCGTCTCTCGGCAGATTGCTGCGACGCTTCAGATGAATACAACAGCCACGCTCGCTGCCAGAACTCTTGCTGGTAAGTTGGATCAAACCTGAGATCCAGTACCTGTAAAATGACCCAGTTTTTTATTTATTTTTTTTTCTTCAAAGTAAATCAGATGGTAAAGAGGATTTTGAATTAGTTGGAACAGGACATCTGGAGGAATTAATTTCTTTCTTTTTTTATTGCAGTAATAAAATTCTTTTAATAGGAGGATTTTATCGCAACAACTGCATGAGTTTCTGTTATAACCACACTTGAGCAGCAATAGTAACCTAATCATTGTGCCACCAGGGGGCATTGTATCTCTATGATAAGAAAAAATGTGTAGCTTCAGACTTGCTCTAGTGATTGATATACGTGGAATTAATGGATTTTAAAACCCAGTTTGATTCAAATGTTTTATTTATTTTATATTTATTTCTGCAGTTTGACTTGCATTAATTCTAGACTTCCTTTGTCATGATCAGGAAGTGTGTGTTTAGCTGTGCTCTACGTCATGTTTCACCATGGTGAAATGTAAGAATGTAAGCTGCTGCGTGAATGCACACTAACCCACTTCTTTTGTTGACAGTCCTCTATTTGTTTCATTCATTTTTTGCCAGCCTAAAAAAAAAAGTACCACATGGAAGCAGTCGATCTCATTATGTTTCCACAAGGTCCCTGCTCACATTCTGTTTGCCAGACTTCTAAAATGATTTAACTCCATCACATAGCATCTTATTTACTCCTCTGTAGTTTTTTTTTTTAACCCCACCCCATTTGGATTTCTACTTCACCGCAGGCCCTTTTAAAAAAATTGGATTGCAGCATCTTGGCTGACCGAAGCCTGTGTGGCTGAGGTTTTTCTCAATAATGATGGTTCTCTGCGCCTCCTCTCTTGGCTTTTCCTTTAGGAATCTGGGACAGAAAGAGCGGGCGTACGTGGAGGGTCAGATGAAGACCTTGGATGAGGGTTTGAGACTCAAGCAGCAGCTGATTGAGGAGGGGGTGCTTCTCTGGAGGGAAAAACAGGTAATTTGATTAAAAAAAAAAACAAAAAAAAAAACACAAACAACATAGTTATGGTAAAAGATCCTAACCATTTTCTGAGTTTCAGTATCTCAGCTGATAAAAATATACATTTAATGTTGGCTTCAAAAGCACCCAGTCTCTCAAGCTGGCTGAATATTATGTATTTGGCTAGGAGCGTTTGAAAGCGTGTTTTTAAAAAAATATATAATTTCTGATCAAAAACTGCCTCCCAGCTTTCTTTGCGAGTGCGATATTGCAAACATTGATATTGCAACACTAATTGCAACTCCCAGATTTTCTTTATGTTACAGTTTGTTTTGAATGTTGTGCATAAAGATACTGCGGTTTAAAAAAATTGGACCATTTTCAGATGGACTTGCTAATGTGAAACAGTTGTGAAATCCAATTGTTCTCCACTCTCAGAATTCTTCATTTAGATTTCAATTTTTGTTCTTTCAAAGCTTTTGTCAGAGAGTTTAAAATCAACCTGAGAAAAATATCAGATATGTTCCCCCAAGCATAGTGTTAAGTTAAAAACATAATATAATGAGGACAAAATTTGCATTTCTCTCCCTAATTTTAGCATCTTAATTTGAAACCAGTAAGTTTGTGCACATTTTCATAGTAGCAACTGTGACAAAGAGGGCAAAAAAACAGTGTCGTCTAAAATGGTAAAAAAAACTGTGCAGTCTGCTCTTAATTTGCTGCATCCTTGTGAAGATTCTGTTTGTTTTTGTTATCTTCTGCACATCGAATTAACTTTTCCCCTCACTAGCGTGCGTTGCCACATTGCAACTGCACTGTTATCACCTGGCTAGCTGGCTAACACACTCGAGGAACAAGGGACGTCGAGGTTAATTTTGTTTCAGATGTGCTGGATCCGGAGGATTTCTCTTCGGAGAGAGCAGTTTGTGCTCTGTGGTGCTGCTTTAGTATGCATGTTCACAGCACCTGCTGCTACATACGCCTGTTGTACAGTCAGAGCCAGTTGATAACACAAACCTTACTTTTCTTTTCTTTTTTTTTTCTTTTTTTTTTTGGAGGTTGTTCTTTGTTTCTTGAATATTTTTTTTTTTGTCATTGTCTTGTGCGTGTTACACATCATGGCATCTTCTCATTATAGACTATTCGTTGAAACGATGCACATTCCTTTGCTGTTTTCTCAACTTTGTCGCTAAGAACTCATCATTCTACATCAATAGGACAGGTCATGCACAGGTATGAAAGACAGCAACAAGATAAGTTTGCCTTTTCAAAATTTTATCACTAATGATATTTTAAGACAAAAATGATGGTTGAATGGATTTTTTTTTTTATATTTCTTCCACAAAAATGTCAAATATCGATAGCCATCTTGATGAGTATCTGGATGGAAGCGTATTGTGACAATAATCTGATATTTATTTGACCACTCAATGACCTTAAGCTCTGAAGTTTCATCTCCAGATGGTCATGAAAGTAACTGAAAGACTGTGGCACATATGCTTCCATTAAATAACAGGAGCTAGCTCTACCTAACCTTTTGGATTCATAGGGCTTTGTAAAATCTGTCCTCTACTGTGTGGAAATGTTATATGTTATAATTTCTCTGATAATTAGATGTTATACAATTAATTCTAAGTGGCTAATAATTTTTTAAAATTAATTTTTCTTGTTCTTTTTGCCACGTGTTGTCTGTTTTATGATGCACTCTGTGTGCATCTGAATTGATAATGTCATAATTATGAGGCTTCTTTTCTCAGTACAATGTAGCACATTTTGTAGGGAGGCACTATATAGCAACATTAACATTGATATTGGCCAATTTCAGTCTTTTTTGTTTTAACACATCGGCATCAATCCGATTTAATAAATCTGGATCAATAACAGTCAATATTTATTAACATCTTGTTGCTCTTTGTTTGCAGGGGGCAATTGGAGGAGACTAATTATTAGTGATATAGCAAAGGATTGTGGGAGGCTTATCAGTCATAACAGCAATATAAAAATTGTATGTTGATATCTGATGTTCATATGTGTGCATACCTAATGTTATGTTCAATCACTTTTTTCCATTTGTGTTTCTATCAGTTGCTGGCTGGTCACACTGTGCTGCATCTTAGCATATTATTGGAAAGTTGTAGAGAAGGAAAAAGTGTGATTATAAAAGGTTCCCGATTTCAGGGAGAAGATTAACAAGACACATACAGCAGCTGTAGTTCATGCTTGAAGGAGTACTTCTCTTGAGCTAAGAGGAGACAAAACAGAGCTGTTGTCCATTGCTAAAAGATTTTGTAGTCTGTATATCATGGATCCAGAGACTGAATCAAGAACAGCGAGACACAGAGTCCAAAAGTGAGGTTCAACGTTTGTCCAGCAGGACTAAGGATCTGCCCGAACTACCAGTAGAACACAGACTACGTTCTCTGGACATTGAAGGGCTCGCCATCGCTGCAGCGCATTTTACAGTTTTGTGACATTGTCAGGACTGTGTTCAATCCTTTTGCATTAAAAGTAGCTGTTTAGAAATCACCTAGTTTCAAGGCATTTTTTAGCACGCCACACAACAGTTTTTTTTTAAAGAGCATTTCAGAAATCTTTCTCAAAACATTTGCTTGGAATAAAACATTGAGGGGAAAAAAAAGACTTGCTCAACAAAGGTGATTTGATTGAATAAAGCTTTTTCCTGACGCATTAGCCAGTCACAATCTTTGATTTCTTTTCTTTTTCAGCTGAATGTCTTTGTTTTGTTTTTATTTCTTCCTAACATGCATGCTTTGATGGTCTTACCCCCATCCCAGCCCCTTTGTTCCCTTTTTTCTGCCAGCTGAATGGCAGATCGGGGCTAAAGTGTCACCCAGTGCTTCCAGCATTTCCACACTTTGTGATCATCGTCTCTCTTGACATGGCAGGGTGAGCTCAAGGCCGTGATGTTGGGAACCTTATACAACGACTCAAATATGAACTCCTGCTGCTGTGGGCTCGAGGCTTAAAGACAAATCTTCTGCAATCAAAACTTTATTCAATATTTGCACACAAGCTATAAATAGATACAAGCTGACATCTTTATTTTGTAAATTTTTGATTACATTTGTACATTCCAAGCTGAACATCTTCAGGCATGAAATGCAAGCTCTGATCTGTTTTCTGAACTCAAATTTTCAGAGAAACAGGCAGATTATTTTTATGTTTTAGCAAATGTATAGCTTTTCAATAAGATTACTTATTGTGCAGAGCTTTTAGAATCTAACTTTTTTAGAATTTCTATATTTTTAGGAATTTCTAACATTTCAGTCGTTTCCCTCACAAGTAGAAATCTTCTTGTGCTCTGGTAATAGAGCCCATAAATCATTGCTGCAGACTGAAGGTACCCAAGCAAACGGCGTGGCCTAGAAAGGTAGTCATCCCTGGCTGAAACCCCCAGAATCCATCAGTGCATCACCAGCGTCTCTGAGGAGAGAATGCAAGGCAGAGTCGACACACAAACACACTTACGGACACGCATCGGCACAAAGGTAGCTGGTCCTCTTTGATGCAAATTGCTCCTTTTAAGAGTGTGATGATGGGTTATCTGCTGTCAGTCTGACGGATTTGATGATGCAAAAATAGCCACTGTCCAATGTGGTTTGGTAATTAAACAGACTTTGTGGTTAAGAGCTGAATGTAGATACAAATGTAAACTAATGCGAGGAGAAAAGAAGTTATAGCATAACTTTTGCACAGGCTTAATTTTTTACTTTTGAAGGTTGAAAATAATCACATTTTTAGAGTACAGACTAAAGAATTCAGGTTCATCTTATGTTTGTTAGTTTTATATCTTTTGAACGGGTGGTTGTCAAAGCCCCATTCATCTCTTACTCTGACCCTCCATCATTCACAAGCAAGATGTCAAAATGCCTGGACTCCTCGACTTGAAATAGCCACTGACCCCTGACTAAGAGGGAGCAAGACGCCTTTTAGAGCCACTTCATCTGCAAAAAAAAACAATTTTAGACTTTGAGGTTCCCAAACAGACATCATGCTCACCAACGATTTGAAATTTGCATGTACATTTTGGTCAAATGTTGTGATAGACCACTGCGAAGTAGAAAATAATTGTGAAATTGACAGAAAGCAAGTCATGACTTTGAAGATTTTGGCATGTAGTACTACTCTGCCATCTTTACACTTGTATTCCTGAATAAAATCCACTGGATTATGATTCAATTCACCATAATTAAATAGAAAGTGTTTTGCACAACAACTAACTTGCTAAGAAATCACCTTTTACCTACACTGATTATCCGGGAAAAGAGAGCACTTAAACATTAGTGGCCCATGGTTACTCTGGAGTAGCAGCAGAAATCTGCAGTTCAGGTGCGAGAATCTTTCCACAGCGCTGTTACTCTTGCACTCCATAAATCAGGGATTTATGCAACATGTAGGAATGGTAGAAAACTAAAGCTATACATGGCTATGAACACACCATTCCCGCCATAAAAGGTAATGTTGACACCTTGGGATTTATTTCTGTATCAGGGACAGAGAAGTGACTCAGAGTAGATGGGAAGTTGAATCTAAAATAAAGGTTTGTTATCAAACATGCAAGCTATTGATTTATTTTTTTTATAAGAAAGAAAAACAAAATCGGTCTCTACATGTGTAAACATGGTAGACAATTAACCCAAATACTTTATTTTTTTTTAAACCAGCTTTTGATGCAGTTATGGTTCAAAGCATTGACTCAGGAGGGGCAGGTTTGAATTTTTAACTTCACAATAACGCACTACTTTGATGGTCTACTACATAAAATCCCAATAAAATACCCTGAAGTTTGTGGTGCTCGCATTGCAAAATGTGAAAAAGTAAAAGGACCATGGCACTTTAAAGAGTGCAGTGGGTTCATTGCCAAACCAATGTTTTTTGACATTTAGACTTTAAGACAAAGGACAAAAGTAAACCCATATGTGCCACAGATTTATGAAGAAATAAATATATTTGAGGTTTGATTGAACTGCTTTCTTTGAACACGGAACATGAATGTGAAATGACTTAAAATGGGGGCAAATGTATGGATCCCATGTAGGTGCAATGTGTGTTTGTGTCGCATACAGCTTACAAGGGATCCCATTTTGAACGACCTCATTCAGTCTGAAAAATTAGCTCTGCGGTCTGAGTATATCGGCTGTGAATCAATCTCCTGTTCTGATAAATGCACCGGAAGGAGGATAGGACGAGTGGAAAAGAACAAGGAAAATGGCCATTATGCACATGCCTACTCTATTGGAAAAGTTTAAGGCTTGCATGCAGAATACATGGTTCTGCCTGCTCCAGTTTTATGCTGTTGACCCAAAATATAGTATGACTAAAGGGCTGTTCATGCTGGCGAGGAGCCTTACTGTTCTGGCACAAGAATGCAGAAATCACAAAGCGCTTAAATTATAACAATGAAGGTTTGGTGTAATCATGTTTGCCCTGTTGTCCCTCTGCAGGCGCAGCTCAGAGAGCTTCAGCGGGCTGCTGAAGATCTGCAGATCAAATTAGAGGAGCACAGAAAGAGGAAACATGAAGCTGACCGACTCAAAGAACAAACATTAAAGGCTTTGAAAGCTGAGGATAAAGGTAAGGCTCCATCTATATTTAGGAACCACTTCAAGACGTTTGCTCATTTCACAGAGTTGTTCCAGTTTACACAGTTGGGCCGTCGTTTTGGCTACAGGGCAGCTTCCATTTCGTGTCTGCTCAGCCGTACTGGAGCAACAGTAAATAGGCTGAGCAGCTCGGCTCAGGTTGTTCAACATCAGAGGGGGGAAAAAAATGGAAAGGTTAAGTGCAGATTCCTCTGCAGTGGAAATTAATTGACTTGGAGAAAGATTGCTGAGCAGCTGCAAACTGTATTCCCTCTGCTCTCCTTTTTACGTACCTCAAACCTTCAGAGAGACGTTGCATATGAGTCACAGGAAAAATCCCTTATCGCTGCTAGCACAAGCTGGCTTGGCATTTAAGCGACGCTCTGACTTGTGCATGTGATGGTACAGAAAGTTGTGAGGATAGGAACTGGGTTCTATCATCTCATGAAATGAAAGATTTACACTCATTAAATGTGGGCAGAGGATATATTCAGACTCCCAATTTTTAGATTTCAGAGACAGAAATACATAAGACTCATACTTGTACCATTTAGAGAATGGACTTCTTTAACATGAATTGGAGAACAATCCTGTATCCTTCTGTTTTCATTTCAGCATGTCAGAAAACCTTCAGGGAAAAATAGAATAGATTAGAAGTTTCTGTCATGCTCTATTGTCAGCTTATTTTCTGATCCGAAGAAGTTTTTTAGTGCAAAGCATGCTCCCTATATGTCGGTTTCTTTGGGCAGCACACATCCATCATGCTTCCCACCCTGCAGGCTGACCTTTCCCCAGCCCCCCAACACATCGCTCCTGAGCCTGTCATCCTTTACTTTCATTAGAGCTCATCTTCAGGGTGTAACAAGCATCCGTTTTAATTTCTGTGCTCGAGATGGCTTGTCTTGTTCCAGTTGCCCATCCGTCTGGAGGATTAACAGATTTCTAATGTCAAATGTGTTTCTACTAGAAATGCTCCTGTTTATTGTTATTTATTTATTATCAAGATTCCAAAATCTGAATGAATTATCTGCAGATACAGTTGCTTTTCCAGTACAGATCTCCTTTTACTCAATTGTTGGTGCTATTTTGGTTCTAGTGTCATATAAGCTAATATAGGCACTGTCAGTCATTGTGCTGCATATTTTTCCCTTGTCCTCAGTCATATTTATATTTACAAGGAAGATGATTGCCTAAGCATCAGGTTGGTCAGTTTTATTCTTTTATTTACATTCAGTTCATGAGCTGCCAAATTTAAACTATCCGACTCTTTGAGAGATGAGAATTAGCAGTTCAGACTTGTGCTTTTTTTGTTTTAGAAAATTACGTGGTATGATTTTTGCAAGCTATCCAGCTGTAAATGTTCATTAATGACTGATAAAAACAGGTAGCGTTAAATCAGATGTGACTGTGGGAGGAAGAGATTAAAAGAAAAAGTAACACCAAGTGACGGTGGATTATGCCATACCATAAAATGGTGTACAGCCGGTGCCGTACTGTCAAGTGGAAATGAGGCATTTGTTCTATATTTGAAAGAAATCAATGTTTTCCCAGTAATACTACACGTGATGTTCTTGCTCTTGAGAATGCAAAACTGTGTGTCATATCTATTTTTGAGTCAAATGTTTTATATCCCAAATATAAAAATCATTTGTTCACAAACAGTTTAGTAACTAAGAGTGCAACAGGCAGATGCCTTTAAACTTACATTTCAATTAGAACATGGACCGACGCAAAGAGCAAACAATACTCCGAATCAGACATTAATGTTAATAGCTGGTAGGAAGAGAAGAGCAAGTTTTAGCCAGTGAAAGCATTTATTCCCCTCAAGATTAAACCATGCATATTACTGTAACCTTTAATCCGTGGTTTAGTATCATTCTGCCTGTAGTTAAACAAAAGCTCTTTACTGCCTATGCTGTAATGCATACTTCCTTTCTGGTAGAGACAGTGCAGATGAAGTAAGCTTTTAAATTTACAATACTCGTGATGCTGCTTTTTTCTGTAATTTGAAAAAAAAATACATGTCCCTGAGCATCTTTTTGGAGCCAACTAAGAAGAAAATATACATCGCAATAGCACAAGGAAACATTTAAGAGTAGCTTTATTACTGTAAAGAGAGGAAAGTTATTGCAAGTTTTAATTATATTGGATCACTCGTAGAGGTCCACAAAACACTTTCTTGCACAGTTGCAAAAAAGCTCAACTCTATATCTCATTTGTCTTTTTGTCACGCAGCACTTTCTATAAAGCCCATACAAAACAGTTGCCTGCAAATACACCTACGGTTCTATACAGGAATGTCAGAACACGGATTGTTCTGTGAACGTGTTCTCTCTCTCTTTATGACCGTAATAGCCTGCGTCAAAATGGGAATGAAAAGCCAGACGAACAAGCAGCTGAAAGAGCAAGTAGAGCTAAACACTCTGTGGTTTCACCGCTGCTGTCGATCAGACTTCTCTCCGGGGCTTCATGTGCAGTTATTGAGATGTTTGAAAGGACCAGGTTATTTGTACCCTCGAAGAAAATTAGTTTCTTGCAGCGTGATGTGTGCGGTACATTGGAAAAAATAGAACAATGGAGAGCTGGGGGTATTTGAGCTGACAGAACAGCAATCTAACCTTTTTCATTGCATGCAGTACAGGCATTTAGAGCCTGCAAAACAATCGTGTATTTGCAGTTTCATTTTTTTCTTTTTCAAATTGTTGTATTTATGGAATTTTAGGTCCATCACATATGTGTTTTGTAAATAAATACATTTTATTTCTTTGCCATCTTACAGATATCTTGCTTTTACTCAATCAAAAATAAAATGGGATCAGCCACATTTTTTGAAAAGCTGAATTCAGTTTTACTAGCCACACCAGGCCTGATTACTGGCAGATCTTTAGTATGAAAAAGAACTTCCATATAAAGTCTCTGTCAATATAAAGACGGCTAGAACATCTGGAAAAGCGACACATTGTGTCCTGATCTAAACAAATTGAATAACAGACGAGAACCAAAGTAACTGGATTCCTTCAGTCCGGAAAGTGTTTTGAAAGCAGCTGCACAATATGTCACAAGTATGTCATCATTGCAATATCAGTCTGTGCAAAATTTATTTCCTAAGGATAGGTTCAGTAATTGTTGGCCGCACTCAATGTATTTCAAGTGTTATGAACTTACATTTTACATGCTAATGTAAAATGTTTGTCGTGGCAGGAGATGTTTACACCAGAAACAACGAACGACATCACAGAGTAAGAAACACAGATCAGAAAGAGAGGAAAAACAAAAGGTTTCACAGCCAATATCGTCACCACAGTATTTAGCAATGTTAGTGCAATATTATCACCATCATGCCATTCTAATATTGCATATTATTTAAACACAATCCTGAACAACTGTTTCAGATATTTCAATTTGCTTGGTTGTTTATTTGTAACAGTCTTATTTTCCCTCTGTGTTTTCTGAATAAGATGTACAGCCTGAGTCATCCTGCTGCAGTAAGCCCCTCAATGCTAGACATGACATTTAAGTTAAAACACTCATTTTCAGGCTTCTTCTTGTTTATGTCGCTTGCTGTTTTCAGTAAAGTAAAAAGCTCAGCACAGAACATGCAGCCTTTTGATCTGTTTCTATTTCTTACCCTTTTTTTCCATAGAAAGAGGTAATTTTCCTCTCTCAAATATTGCTTCTAGTGTATGAAAGACAGCAAAATATCTGTTTTCTTTGCCTGGGAGTGCAGAGTCTACAATGACAAAAAAAAGCTCTGAGTGGAGAACATTGTCTGTAGGCTAGCCATAGATCTGCAGACTCCCGCTGATATGTTCCATTTTCTCTGTTCTCGATGTGTCTCTCATTTTACGAGAGTGCTCCGATATCACCAGGGCAACATGGGTGGATGACTGATGGTGTCCATTAGTAAACATAGTCTCCTATATATGTGCCATTGGCCTAAAGATCCCAATGTCTTCAACCGCTTCCTCCTATTTTTTTCCCCCCACACCACTCTCCAGCTCTTCTTTATTTTCCTCTTTTCTCCCCTATCATCCTCTTACCTTTCACCTCCCCCTCATCCACCAGATGCTTCTCCATCATTCTTGTTTTCCGCTGCACTCCTCTCCCCCAGCGAGATGGAGGAATGAGACCATCTCGCTCCCTTCTCTGCGCTATCATTTTTTACTAGGCGGCGGCCGGAGCACGGGTTGAAAATATTGAGTGTTAGGTTGCAAACGGAGAGCAATTCAAATAAAGAACGGGCCACTAATCTTGCAGACGCTGTATGTATTGAGGGATAATATCATCAAGGGTAGTTTTTCCCTTTTACCTGTTGTTAAGTAGACTCAAGATTCGAGTTGCAGAAACTGAAGAGCCATATTGTTTCAGGTCAAGATGTTCTGCAAAATCTTACATCTTTTGAAATGATTTTTCTAAATCCCATCCTAGATTTTTCAACTCATTTTAGTTAATTGATATCAAGCAAAATGACACCAAACGTCATATGAGGGCACTTGGCAAGCAGGTCCAATTTGTGTAATTTATGTAGAATCAATTTGATTAAAAAATAGCCCTAAAATTTTGTTAGATTCCCACCCAATTATGTCCTTTGCTATTCACTCCAAAGTACATTAAGCTTGAATCAAAATCAGTTGAGGATACAATGTTATACGTAAGACGTTCTCTGTAAAGAAACCCAGATTATTGGAGATTGAGTGGTGAAATTATTTGTGTCAAATTATGACATCAGTGCTTTGTGTCATATATTTTTAATACACTGGATCACAGGCAGTTAATCCAGATACAAATTGATCCCCAACCCTATTGCACAGACTTCACACCAGCAGTAACACTTGTTTTTTTTTTTTGTTTTTTTTGTCCAGAAGAGAAACACAACTAAGCTGATAAGCACTGAGCTAGTAGTAAAATCTTTGGGAAAGAAAAATAGGTTAACATTGCTGATGGCAGCAATAGCTTAACTGATGCCCTTTTCCATGCAGTTGACCCAGCTTAATACAGAGACACTGGGCCCAGTGGAGGTTCTGTGAAGATAAAAAAACCTAAGAGATAACAAAGTTTTTTTTTTCAGCAATAACTGGAGATAATGTTTAAATGGAGAATAATTGGAAAAAGAAGATCAGTAAGGACAAATGGCCCAAATGTCCTCCAGCAGCCCAAGCTAATTAGAGTATAACTATGTAGATAGTCTCAAGACAACAAAACACAATCTAACTATAAGCTGAATATGATCTTACAAAGGAGAAGGGGTGTCTGCACCAGACAAAAAACTGGGAATTGGTTCACTAGTTTTCAACAAATGGAATCTCAGTTCTCTTACCATGGAAATCACAACCCTTGGACAGAAATGTATAATTAACATCAATTGAATTTTAAAGTTTGATCCTTGTTGTAACACAATATCTATTTCTCTTCTAAAAAAAAACAAAGTCAAACAGAGAACCTTTTCATCCCTTGGTGCAATTTAGTAGATGAAAGTCAGTATGCTGCATATAATTAGTGACAACAATATTTTCTTTCTGAAGTTTGATCCACTGGATGAAGGACCACAATCACCCGGCCACATTTTACTCAAAAACAGAACTGGACACAGCTCTGCATTAACTCAGCACTGGTTTTTGAAGAAAGTTTTTATTTTTACTGCTAGAGATGGACTAAAAACAACAAAATAGAAATAAATAAATAAATAAATACCCAAGAAACTCCACACCTTTTTTTTATTGTTGTATGAGTGTGAGACACATTTTTTTTTTTATTTATAATAGTTTATTCTTTTATACTTTGCTTTATTGAAATATCTTATATTTAATATTCTTCTAACCAAATACATTAAAAGTAATTCATACCAAAATGGTTTTATATATATATATATATATATATATATATATATATATAAAAGCATGGCTCCTGGTTACTTTGAACTTAGTAATCTTGGCAGAAGTTTGGGCACCACTGATCTTTAAAGAGAGAACATGTAGTTACTGGCAGCAATGGCTGAGCAAATGGCCCCCCAGGAAAGTGACACTGCTAACCACAGTAGCACTGGGCCAGATGTCATTTTTTTATGAGTGAAACTGAAGCGAAAAGGCTGTTAACTGAAAGATCTTGAAGTTGTATTTGATTAATTGTGGAGAAAGAAAACTGCTTTCTAGGTTCAGCCGGGAACAACTGAGAAACTGGAGCAACATGATCTCTTGCTCTGCCATTTTGGATGAACTGACAGTTTTTTATTATAAAAATTGCCTCATCAATGTTAGTTTTGCCAGAGGAAGATTAATAAAACTTGTTGTAACTCTTTAATTTTTTGTTTGATTTTTAAAATTTTTTTTGCACACACTCTGCATAAGCTCTTTGCTCCGTACATGGTGAGGAAAAGAAATGCTAATTTCACAATTAGCTTTTCCGTAATTAGTACTGAAAGGTAATTGCCGCGGATGTGCAATTATGTAAAGTGCTTTTCCCCAGACATAGGGGCCAATCAGTTTGCCCCCTTTACCTTTTCTGTTCTGTAAATGATTCTGGAGATGCTCAGCACCAAACTGCAGAGAACTTCCTCGCCTTCCTCTCCAGTGAGTGCGATTCACAAAACTGAATCGGCTGGGGTCACATGCTTTGCGGATAAGAGGGTTCAGGAAGTTTCTTTTTGCTTCTCCTTTTCATTTGCCTGTGAATGTGAACGGAGGAGAAGAGGGAAATCACTGTCATAGCAGCCGTTGCAGCACAAAGCCTCCTGATTGCATTCTGGACTCTGACGCGCTTTTTTTTTTTTTCCTACAGGGAAAGCAAATGTTCCTGCACAGCATGACTGACTCATTGCCTGTTTTTTTTCCCTCTCTACCCTTGCTGCTCATACTTTTTAGTTCACTTCTTCTTTTTTAATTTTTTTTCCCTTTTATGTTCACGCTTCAAGGTTTTTATTGGGGCTGATAAATACAATTATCAGCAATTGGTGGTTAGAAATAATGAAAAGTTGTTTCTTAAATATTATTATCAGCTGCCTGCTGTGTAAAGCTTCTAATGTACAATTTTCTTTGCAGGTTTTAGGCATCAGAATAGCACCGTATCGCACCTTTTCCAACTACTGGACATCAATAAAGATGGCAGGTGAGTTATATGCTAATCAAAAAGAGTCCAAAGGTTTTTAAAGCCTGGAAGCACATTTGATGTTGGGCTGCTGCTTTTTGCCAAGCCCATCATCCACCAGCCATCTCTGAGGCACTATAATCTTCTTCTATTAAATCTTTATAGTTTTGAACTCTATGTATCTTGCCCATCCTTCTTTTTGTGTTGATTAAATAAATTAGATAGTATGCTGATAGTATATCCTATTAACTACCTGGACAAAAACCTGTGTCATACAAATCAATTTTTATGTTTCACTAAAATTCAGTTGGAAGAGATTTTGCTTGTTAAGCTATAAAAATATATATTTTTTTCCTATAGTGGAACTTGCATTTTATGACATGGGAAGCAAAAAACATAAAAAAAAAAACAAAAAAACTTTCATGTCTTGTTAAATTCTGAAAAAAAATGTGACATGTTTTAGCAGAGTAAATTTAACAGTTTTATTTACTATTTGACCTTTACGCATAATAATAAGTCACTTAAATGGACAAACCTATGTGACAATTTAAAGTTGGCTATAGACCTCAAAAAGCAATGGAATCTAAATGCATTTAAGAATTAATGAGAAGCAAGGTTATTGTGAAGATTTAGTCTAGAAACTGTCAAATCTCCATATCCATATGGTATCCATGTGAGGGTACCAAGGCCAAACCAAGACCAAACCCATTGCTGACCCAAAAGAACTCAAAGGCCTTCTTAAAATTTACCCCGACAGTCCTCTCCACGTTTCTTCTTCACAGCAGTCCAGACCGTCATATTTCTCACTCTACCAGAACATGCATGTAAAAAAATAAATAAAATGATAGTTCTCAAACCAACAGAAAAACTTGTCATAGTAAACCAAGTGTGCTATAAAACATATGCTTGCAAAACAATCTCCTCATGCAGCAATTCCTATGTAAGAAAAATGGGCCTGTTTGTGCATTCTTGCAGTCGGATGTTATTCTGCCTCTCTGGCTATTGTTCACAGCTCAGAACCCCTTTATCCACTCAATCTCCCTCTGTCTGAATTCTTGAGTCTCTCTGAGCTGTGCTTTAGCAAACACATTACTAAGCTGTCAGTTGGTGGACTCTGTGAACTGGCCATCATTATGCACTACATGTATTGATGTTGATCTGAATAAGGCAGAGATTGTGTTTGCAGTGGCATTTTTAGCCACTGCATTACTGCTTAGGTCTTGTACGTCCTTCCAACTCAAAGTGTCAACCCTCATTTAGTTTCTTCTCTGATAAATGCAATGTCACAAATTATACCTAATGCTTGCAGTTGCCAGGCAATTTGCTTCCTTGATTAGCATGCATGCTGTATGCTTTTTATGTTGTACAAAAAAAGTTATTTGTCTGGCTTTGTCCCCGATGACACTTAACTAAACGTTCCTCAATTCTTAATCTGCTTCATTGGAATTGCTAATTATGTTTAATGCAGATTCACAGATAATTATTCTCTCATTTATACTGTGAACTAATCTCATTTTTGTGTCCATTTACTCGCCAATAATTGCCTCATGACAAAGAACGCAGCCATTGATTTTCATAAAGTTTTGAACACATTTTAAATCGTATTAAGACATTTCTGCAAAACATCCTCATTAGAATCAATAATGCATTTTGAAATAAATTAACACTGAATAAATATTTCATTCGAATCGTGATCAGGTTGTTTTAAATGGCCCATCTGAAAACTTTCTGTGGTGCTTGTTCTACATCATGTGTAGAAATGTTCTGTCCTTGACTCATTGTCCCAAGGATCGAAGGTCCACTCAAATGTCTTTACCACTTTGACAGTCTCTGATTACCATTGACATGTCATGTCTGCACTGCCTGTTTTGTTTTCCTAAAACAAATAATTAAAAGTTTTTTTTATTAAATAACTTTACTACAAGTATAGGGTGCCAACTCACAACATCTCCACAGAACCTGGTTAAAAACAGTATATATACTTGTGTGTGTGTGTGTGTGTGTATGTGTATATATATATATATATATATATATATATATTAAACTGGCCTAATAAGGCTGAGGACTCTGGAAATGTTAGTCTCAAAACCAACTTTGAGATGTAAAATTCCTATATGAGGGGTAAAGATTTGTTGGTCACGAATGTAGGTCTTACAATCGTTTCATCCTAAAACCTTTCCATGCACCACGCACAGGCACAACCCACTGTGCCAGCTGGCAGGCAGTTGGCAGCCCAGTGCAGGATTAACTGGTACTAGTATGCTGGCCTATAAATAGAGTCTACCAACTGCTTGAGGAAATGAACCATGATGGAGCCTCCCAAAGGCCCACGAACAGGATGTGCTTTTTATCCTCTCCCCCTCTGCATGGATTTATCACTGCCTGCATCTGCGAGCTCCATAATATTCATTACTGACTTTCATAGAGAAGCCTCCGAAAAGGGTGCACATAACAAAACACCTGCTTTTATGCTGCAGTGGTCTATATATACGTGCAAATGCCCTGCGTGATTCGAGCCAAAAGCCAATTTACTTCACACAGGATTTACAGAGCCGTTGTTCTGCAGCCTGTGTGCCGTTCTCACAATGGTGAAAGGCATTGTTTCTCTCCAGCACTCACCCTGAGCATTGATCTTCTGTAGGCTGAGCAGACTATTCGCTTTGTATGTTTGCCTGCCTTAGTTGACGCGCTCCGGGGATTGATTCTGGCTATGCAGTCATTATCTGAGCTCAGAGGGGGCAGTTTGGCTGTAACCTGTGGAAGGAAGACACAAGCATGGAAAAATGGTTAATGACAAGAGTTTAGTATCGTGGGAAAAAGAGTTGGCATATATGCGTGTGTGCATGTGTGTGACTTTACAGTGTAGTGCATTGTATTGTGAAATCAGGACAAAGTTATGAAGAGTGCAACATTCTTGATATTAGCTGTAAATAGCTTAATTGAACTTTAAGAAATTTGTATTTTTAAGTGTTTATCTGCGCTTAGTTAATTGCCAACTCTGGTTTTGTTGTTTGAAAGTGAGGACAGGTCTTTCTTTTGTAAAATAGCATTTTTGCTTCTATTTTACATCTCTAAATTAAAACAAGGTTGATATTTTTAAGTGGAATCCTATTGAAACAAGCTGGGGTTTTGTCTCGTACCTCGTAATGTTCAACACATATTTAGGAAATCAACCAAACTGTTCAATGGAATACTAATATGATGCATTTTTAAACCCCTCAGTATATCGTTGGATGAAGTCAAGGCTAAAGTGGTGCTTGTCCATGATGAGACGAGGGTTCTCTCCGAGGATGAAGCACTGGTGAGCTATTTTTAAAATTCAATAACACGGTTTTCTTCAAGGTTTTTCATGTAGGATTTACTTCATGCTTAAACTTTCCGTAGGTTGTTTGAAATTTAGGTTGCACTTTCTTTCCTTTCTTTTTAGTTTTCTTGTAAATTAAAATTTTATTTGAAAGCTCCCACCCTCCTTCCGCCACCTTTAGACATTTTAGATGACAAAATTAACTTTGTAGGTATTCTTAATCATTTTCCACTGCTGTTTATACAACATTTAAGTCATTTTTGTGCTGGTTACAAAGAAAATAAGTATCTGTTACCATGGAAACTTGGTGAGAAACAGTCAGGCAGCAATAAAACCAAAGTGAAATGATGATATTTCTAAGTATTTATAGAGTTTTCCTTATTGCCACCGATTTGTCTCCAAGCATACAGCACTTGAGTCTGCAAGGCCTTACTTATTTTAATGATGATATTATATAAGTAAAAGCTGGCACTGATGGTGATTTATTGATTTACTTTTGATTAAATTAACAAGTGATTTCTTATATTGGCCAATGAAAATACATTTTTCTTTACAAATAAAAATACTTCTATTTCAATATATTTACCAACCCAGATGTAAGTTAAATTGACAAAAAGTATAAAAAAATGACTCGAGGCAATTTCAAGTGCAAGGCAGCCTCCATGAGTTTGGGAGCAATATGACACAAATATAACAAGGTACTTTTTGGCAATTAAGATCTAAAATCAGGTTTTAAATCATAATAAACTTTTCTTGTTTTAGGTCTATTAGTAATGACAATATTATTAGCATTTCTTAAATACCTAATTGATATTGCGGATTTTGTATTACCTTCTTGGAAGTCGCGGGTTCACAGAAAATAACATTATACCTTCCAACAGTTTGTAATGTTGTTTACACACAGTGGTGTTTGTAAACATTAACATTGCTTTATATCAGAATTAAAGAGAGGAAGAACTTTAGCAGGCAGCTTCCTTTTGTGACGTTATGGGAAATCACATGAAGTTAGGGAAAATATCCAGAGGAGAATCGTTGACCTCTACGAGTCTGGTTAATGTTTCGGCACAACTTTGAGGTAGCAGAAGGTGGCACATTCAACTCTTCCGACAATTATAGGCCAGTACAAACAGCATGGAAATGTCTGTTCATAATACGTGACAGGACCACGTCTCTGCGGTCCAGGAAATAATATGTTTTAGAGTGAAAATTGTTAATAGGCACTAGAACAAAAGCAAAAGACATTTAAGATTCTGCTGAGTGTCATTGCCAACAGTGAAATGTGTCCTGTCTTAACATTAGAAGAATTGCACATCGGAGAGGAAAAATACCTTCATTTTTGGAGAAAAGTGCTGAGGACTGATGAAACTAAAATGTGTGTGTTTGACCGTGATGGCTGCTGTTATATTAGAAGAAAAAAGTTGGAAACTTGCAAAAATGAGCACACCATCCCAACCATGAAAATAACTTGTTTTGGTTGCTAACTTTGTTTTGGTGTGGGCTCGATCATGTGTGGTTGCTGCGATATAAATAACATAATGAGGAATGAACATTATGTTACATCTTATATTATCAACAATTCCTAACAAGTGGTGATACTACTAACCAAACGAAGTCAATGTTTTGGAGTGGCCATCAGAATTTCCTTATCACAGAAAATATGCAGACCGGGCTAAAAAGATGTGAGAGAGAGTAAAGCGGTCTACAAATCTGACTTGGTTCTGTCAGGAGGAATGGGCCGGTCCTCCAGCAAACTTGTATGAAGCTTTTGGAAGAAAACCCCAAAGTCTTTGAACCATGTGATACATTCTAACAGACAATTGAACCCAACACTAATGAAAAGTTGGTGGACTTCCACAGTTAAAGATCATCAAAAATATCTCATTATTCTAACATTTAACAAACAATAAATTTTAGTTATCCTAAATGACCTTAGCAGTCCAATTCTAACGTTTATATACTTTTATATTTAACTTTTATAACTCATGGGTTGAAATTTGCAGAGGGTAGAATCGACCCAAAGCCTATTAAAAGCAGTATTTGGTAAACAAACATGGATAGAGGTTTTACCTGTCTGCTCACTTTTAAAATACAGTTTGTCCTTATTTTTAGGGGAAAAAACACAATACAAAAACAAAGCTGAAGTATCATTCAGAACTGATTTTCTAATGGCATGATTATCCGGCAGCCTTGATGAAGGATTAGAAGTGGTTGTAGAAAATTTAGCTTTAGCGGTTGATTTGTTTACCTGGTCATTTTTAGAGCTCCAGGGAGGTTTTAAGTGGGATTGAGGGAAAATTGCAAGCTGCTATATATAGGTCATGTATTATTTTTTTGGGGGGGTATTTTTATTTTAGTAAACTTCATGTCTCATGACTCCATTTTGAGTGTTGTCTCCACTTGTACAAGTGGATTTTCTTCACACTCATTTCAATTCTGAACAGAATGAGCATGGCTTCCCAGTCGTGATTTAAAAAAAAAAAAAATTCTTCCTCAAGCTGTTTTTGTGCAAAAACGTGTCTGTCTGTTTCACTTAAGACTTGTTGATCCCCTGATTTACGAGGCAGCACATAACAAGATGTCTGTGTGTAAACAAAGGAGCCCAAACTTCCTTTTCTTTTATAAATTACAATATTCATGCGGACTACATAAAGACACATGCGCACACACGCACACAAAACAGCAAAACGGAGAAGCTTCAGAGCTTCTGACCTGCATGAAAGTCTCACAGATGAGAAAAATCTGTCTGTGTTAAATTTTCCTGGTAAATGGGAAGACATTCTCAGTGAATTCAGCTGCAGCTGAAGAGGATGAATTAGTATAAAGATTCATGAATATGAAAATGTGTGCTTAACTGCAACCACAGCAAACTGTAATCAAGCTGGGCAAATTAAACAGGCTGCCATTAAATAAGCAATTTACATTAAAACTGACGAGGGGCTCAGTGTGTCAGACCCTATAATCAAAGTTGGGGCCTACGGGGATCGTATCTTTCGAGGAAGTTAATTTTTAACTGTTTTGGCAATGCTCAGGGAATAAGGCCTGGTCGTCTTCAACAATTATCTCTTTAAACAAGAGGCACGTTGTGTGTGTCCAACATGTACCAACTATAGGAAGTACTGGTTAGTTTGCAAAGTTGACTGTACAAACAACTGTTGCCTGTTGCAAAATTGTGTTTTGACGTCTGTTGCTCTTGAAATTAGTGGCTGCTAAAAAAAAAAAATTCTCTACTAAAATGTAAAATTTGATATTTATTTAAAAGTGGTATAGCAAGTATTCTGTCCAAAGCTATTACAGTATATTTCCACATTATACTGATTGTTCAGTTAGTACTTTATTTTTGCTTGCTGATATCCTGAATTCAAGTCAGATACATTTATGAGAGTGATATTGGTGAGTGGTCAGTCTTAAAATTAGTTTCAGCTATTAGCTGCACACATGCATGATTATCATTTATAATTACTCATGATTATGAATGATTACGATTTATAATCATAAGGTAAAGCAGTTCATTATGTGATTACGAATTATTAAGCCTTTGGGCGTGTTTGGATGGACAGTGGTGAAATGATGTTTCAAGTGAGACAATGAAGTTTCCCATTTTTTCTGTAAAAAATATATTCTTCTCATTTAGGTAGAAATGTTAAATTCTTCTCTTTATTATTTATTTATATTTATACATTCAAAAAACTACAAAGTCATAAAACATCATCATTACAAATCAGAATGTTTATTAATGTCATTTATTATGTTTCAAAAGCAAGCAGGTTTTGAGTGTTTCAGCTGTTTTGCAGTTTTCCGAAAGTTCAGCGCTAGCTCAACATGTGAATTGTTCACATTATGATGGCTTCACTAGGGCTTTCTTCAAGCAGCTTCAACAGTTCAGTGTCGTCACAGTATCAACTTTTCTAAACACCAATTTTAAAAAAAAGGGCCACACAGGAGCAGTCAAAGAGCAGGATGTGACTTGAGAGCTGCGGGTTCGCCAGCGCTGAGCTGTAGGATGATTGCTGCTAATGCTTGAGATTGAAATTAAATCTTGCACAGAAAAGCCCAGTAACCTCCCAATCACAGCTAAATAAGATTTTATAAAACATTTGGAAAGGGGCAAGGCTTTGCTCCATTGTTCACGTCCAAGGGAATGGGCTTACTTTTTTTGAGTCTATGTTAACATTACATTTATTTGACTATGCTGCAGTAAAATATCAAAAACATATGTAATCCCTAAGTTGAGCAATAAAGCCAACAAGGAAGAAACACAAACTCTGTGATGTTTCTTTTTCTCCTATGTGCTATTTGCTGAAATGAAAGGCATTATTAGTGTTCAGTCATGCTGAATAAAGAGATTGATAAACTTTCCTCTTTTGCACTTACAAGTGGCGATCATATTTTTTTTCTTTTCTGTTTTTTGGTTCTCTGATTCAATTTGTTAAATTTTTACATCTTTTTTGTTATTGTTCCTGCTTCTTTTCGCCTTCCCCTATAAGAAGCTTTGGCCTCGCCAGAAAATTCACTTTCCACTTCAGTGGCCCAGATAATTCAAGAAGGATTTTCAGGAGAACAATTTGATGATCAAAGGGAAGCTCGACGCTCAGAAGGGAAAAAGGGTACTTTGAATCGGCTTTCCCTCTGTGTCCCAACATTATGTTATAGCCTTTCATTACTGTAGAAACCCCTGTTAAGGTAGGGTTACTTTAGTTCAGACAATAAATGGTAAAGAAGGCAAAACAGGGAAAGAAGGGGTAGGAGAGATGTAATTTTAGTAATGAAACTTAAAGTTTTGCACAGACCGAACTTTTAGCGCTTCTTTATTTTGCCTTTATTAATGGGACAATACCTTCATAGAACCGTCGATGTGTGACTCAACTCGATCCGCAGCAACGTCTCTGAGAGCAGGAAATTGCTTTCTCTCAGCCTATACACATTCTGTGCCGAGGCGTATATCACTTATCCATCTTTCTACCTGCTCACATACCTTTAAAGCCCTCTACTCAGTCTAC